AGGGCAGAACTGAAAAATGCAGTATTTGAAAGTGGCGCCCGAATTGCAGCATGGCGCCAGTTGTCCAAAATCCTACGGTACCAAAGGAGGGGTTTGGAAAAAGGGTGCCAGGCCGAAAACGGGATGCAGCTGAAACAGCAAAAAGATAGACCAGGGATCGAGCCCTGGCGAAGTCCGTAACAGAAAGAAGTTAAGACAAGAAGAAGAACAAAACATGTTTCCAGCTCCACTTACCGCCTGTTGTGAATCTTTTGCGCAGTGTCGAAGCTGGTGTGGGAACCAGCTTGCTGCATGCAAAGAGCCTCAACGTCCTTTTGCAGCTCATCCCGCTCTGTAAACAGAAAAATCAGCAAGGTGGATGAAAAAATTAGAAAAATAACATATGTCAATTAAGCAAAAAAAAAAAGATTGCCTGGAAAAAAAAAGATTGCCCGAGAAAGCAGTGCAAACTTCCTGACATTTATAGAGTTGAGCCTGTTCTAGCGAATTGGAGTCACTTTGCGATCGAAGTGTCCTACAGCTAACTGGTGTTTTACATTATACTATACGTGGGGAAGTGCATGAACATCGATCAGCGATGTCAATTGAATTCAGGGTGGGGAGGGGGGGGAAAGGTGAAAGAAATTGAAACATGCAACGCCCTTGCAAATGTTTAGCACTCTTCAAGCTCAATCAAGTTGAATATACTGAGTCAAAGCCCTGTTCAAATTTGTTTTTATAAATTTATTCTGTTATTTTAATTGGACCATTTATCCATTTGTGTGTTTCATCCTTGCGTAGGGGTCATGCTAATCTCCTTTGTATCAGTAGTGTCCAAGACTAACACTCCCCCTCACACCACACACAAGTGACACAACCCACACCCCCACGCACACATTTTATGGTCAACTGGATATGCTTGATCAGGCTTGTGATTTTTTGTTTTATCCTATGTACTTGGCCCGAATAAGTACAAGGGCATTACTCCCACTGCGATGTCAATATGCCTTTCTGCTGTGAGCTTGCCTTCAGTTCTTTGTCCATCGCGTTTGGTGCCATGGAAATTGGCTTGAATTTGGTTTTCCTTAAGGCGCCCAGGTCCTGTGGTGGCGGTCACCACAAGGGTGCGATAAGGTGATTGCTTGCCCTTTCCTTCCAAGCATTGAGTTTGCTTCGCTCCCCACCCAGGGTATGCCAAACTCAGGTGCAGTGTACTCTTACTCACTCTTCCTTACAGAAGGTCCTCCGTGGCTTAAACCTTGTACACAACAACTCCTTGTGATCCCTAACAGAATACGTAATCCTGTTGTACGCAACATCTAGGGCAGTTGCTCTGAGCACACTCACAAGTGGAGGCATTCTGCACATCATCTGAGCCATCGCTTGGAAAACTCTTTGGCGAGTGCCACCCGTTGAGGACGTCGACAACTTTTCCCATTCTGAGTTGATGAACCTAAATCCCTGGACCATGTTGTTACCTTTCAACTCAGTTCTCTTTTCTTTTTGGTCATGTCTTATCGACTGTGCTCGTTCTCTAAAATCCTCGTGGATCTACAGGATTTTAAAATCATTTACGTATCATGTCAGAATTACAAAGGGTAAATCAGAAAAGGGATTCAAAGGGGGAGGGGTGATGTGTTGATAGTACGGCACAAACAACATGTCCTCCTCACAAGTCCCTTTACAATAACCCCTCTTCACTGCTTTGCGTGACAGACTAACATGGTTAACTGGGTTGCACATCATGACTGGAACACACACCTGGATGACGTGGGGCACCAGTTTAAAAGGTGTCTCTCCTACGAGGCAGCCGCAGCCCGTGCTGAACAGTTTGAGCTGCAGGTACGGGCATTGATGAACGTCCCATTACCCGGGAGTTGATGTTCTTTTGTCTCCTAGAGGTATTTATGTATTACTCACATACCTTGTGGTCGCACATATGTCGGCTAGACTTATATTTTCTGCTCACTACAAGCCTGCATCAACACTGGCACTCCTGCTACTCATCCCAAACTAATCAAGCACCTCACGGGCATTTTTATAACTTCATGGCAAGACCACCACCCTTTCACTTTGCCGTCTGGCCCCTGGAATGCATAGACCCCAATCTTTATCTGAATGTTGATGGCTTTATTGGTCCTCAGCTGTAAAGCCTGCAGTTACCCCTCATAAAGGGTTTCGGGTCTGGCGCCTGATCTCTCTATACCTTCGGGGCTTCAACAGTGTCCTTTCACAAGGACGATTACCACCTGTCCCTCAAACAGGTTGATTAGTTCACGTGGCTGTCCAAATCCTCCTCCTATGTCTAACCCCACAGCATAAATTGGTAGTTATAGAGTAATATAGACCCATCATGATTAACACTACCCCAGGTCCTTGCTATGGTGTGTGCTTGGCCCTGCATAGCACGGTTATACGAAAAACCAATTCAGAATGGCAATCCATATGTCGTACCCTTTCCCAAGTCACACGCGCTTGGCACTCTCGTTTGCTGCAATGGCTGCAGACAAATGTCTCAAATGCCAAACTCACAGCAAACATTTGTCAATTGGAGCTGCCTACTCTTGCCAAGGAAATACCCATCTGCAACAAGGTGGTATCACCTATTCGAGTCCTGTTCTGTCATTTTACAAAAGTTGCACTCAACATAACAAGCAATAGCTTCCCCTTTGTCATCGTCCTTATCTTCAACACATTTATTGTCTGATTGGCCGTCACAGAGGACTGATCAGTTGAGGCATTCATGTTCAGATCGACCGTCACAGAGGCCCTATTGGCTGAGACGTTCCGCATCTCCAATGCCGACCCTAGACAGCAGCCTCGTTTGTATGTGAACAAAATGATCATCGCGCCCCCGGCAAGGGTCAGAGATCTACTCTGGCGCTATGCTTATGACCTAAGCTTATGAAAAGATGCCGTCGCTCCAAATACACACTATCCAGGAATAGTACATATCGAGTCCGATACCCACAATGTGGCGATTGTTTTCGCAGTGGAGGTCTGTGTGTGCACTAGACAAGAGCTACAACCACCTGTGCAACATTTTCATGACTACCAACCACTCAGAGTACACGTGTGGCTGATGATCAGCTTCCGCTTCCTGCATCTGACCCACCCACTTTACAGTCGACGATTGTGTGTGCACTAAGCCACCTGTGAAACATTTGCACTACTAGCTGCCACTCTGAGGACATGTGAGGCTGATCAACTTCCGCTTCTTGCATCTGACCCACCACTTCTAATCCACCTTGCCCTGTGGAGCCAATGGAGTTAATAGAGCCAGAGGAACTTGACAAAAAATTGTAAGGTCCGGAATAAACCTCCCCCTACCATGCAATCTGTAGAACTAAATAAACCTACAATCTGCAGAATCAAATGATCTCATAGTGCTTCAACAAGGCCACTGTGCGTACTATCCCATTAACGTGTATTTCATCGCTTACAATTGCAACCCCTATATTGTTTATGATTTTGTAGACATTGTCCGTCACAAGAGGAGCATTGTGCGTACTATCTCATTAACGTGTATTTCCTCGCTTACAATTGGAACCCCTATATCGTTTTACGATTTTGTAGACATTGTCCGTCAAATGAGGAGCATTGTGCTGTCTGCCCAGAGGATGACAATACTGCACCTGGCATGAACAGAGAAGTCTTATCTACGGCATTTATGGGAAGACGATTGCAACTCCAGCCCACTCAAACGAATTACATATCAAACATGTACCTGAATAATCATGCATACATCCTGCATCACTGCCGATAATCATGCACACATCATGCATTTCTGTGTTGATACCACTGCGGATAATTCGTAGAGCCTGTGGCACAACGGTGTTAGGGAGCATATTAACTCTTCTATTACTGAGAGTGGTAGAATCCCACTCGCTCTGGCTGGTCAATCAAGAACAGTATGCGGATATGCACTCGCAAACTCTAAAGCCTCTGGAGAACAATCCAGCAAAACCTCTCCCCTCGATTGAACATGGCCAGGCAACGTTTTTTCCTCGTGTAGATCGGATGGATTCTGCCACAGAAAGTGAAGGGGCCCCTTCAGAGGATGGTGGCTGTGTCATGCCATTATGTCTCTACGCAGCTACAGTTCGGTTTTGCTTCGAACACTATAAAGGGATAGCCACTGCCAGCCTCTGCCACGAAAACCGCGACCCGTTGCCTTGCACTCATCCCCCCCAACCCCTTATTACTTGCCCGACCAGAGGGTCTGTGAGTAATAGCATAAATAATCCCAAAAGAGCATCCATTCCCAGTTAAATGGGGCTTTCATCAATGCACCGTACTTGCAGCTCAAATTGTTCCTCACAGGCTGCAGCTGCCACATAGCGAAGTTACTTTTTAAACGTGTGCCTTGCATCATAGAGTTGTGTTCCAATCATGATATACAACCCAGTTAACTCTTCTAGTCTGTCCTGCGCAGCGGCGATGACAGGAAGAAGGGGGTTTAACTTACCGTAAAGGGGATCGTAAGGAGGAGATGTTCTTTGTGCCATGCCACCGAGACAGAAATCCTCGTTTGGAAAAACTTTGGATCCCTTTCGTGAGTCTCATGTTGAGTTTTTGACATCATAGGTAAAGAATTTCAAAGACGTGAAGATCCCATTTCAGGAAAGGAGCAAGGTTCGTAAGACATGATCAACAAGAAAAAAGAAACTAGTGAAAACGCAACACCATGGTCCAAGGTTTTAGGCCCACTGGCTCGACACACGGAAGTTGCCAACGTCCTAGCAGGAGGCACTCGCCACAAAGTTTTCCAAGCCATGGCTCGGCTTATACGTAGAATGCCTCCAGCTGTGAATGTGCTCAGGGCAACTGCCCTAGATGCCGGGCACAACAACATTAATTACTCTGTTAGGAAGGAGGTGTCAGATGATAAGGAACTGTTGCATATAAGGTTAAGCTGGACGTCAAGGAGGACCTGCAGGGGACTGAGATAATCAGGAGTACACACCCGAGTCTGGCACACCTTGGCAGGGGAGCTAACCATACTGACTGCATGGAAGGATAGGGTAAGAAATTGCGCTGTTGTGGTGACCGCCACTACAGCAATTGACATACTTGGTTCTATTCAGGTCAGTTTCAATTAGTGACATCATGAAATCATACACCAAACGGAACAAACAATAAACTCAGGGCGGACTCACAATTCTGGGTGGAAAATATATCGGCATAGCCGAACGTGTTAGATCCACCACAGTAGGAGAAGCCCTTGCATTTATCCGGGTTAATTACATAGGATAAATGAGAAACATATGTCATAATCAGAAGCCTCATGAAGCGTATCTGTGTGTGTATGTGCATGTCTGTGTGGGTGTGTGTGGGTGTGGGTGGGTGTGT